GTGTTTTAAACGCCACGGGCCGTGTTACACGCCACGAGCCGTGTTTTAAACGCCACGGGCCGTGTTACACGCCGCAGTCTGAACACATTCTGGAAATCATTGACATATATCTAGACCCGTAGCACAAATAAAAACTGTAATTCAAATTGTTCCACAGTCTACTTTTTAATAATATAATCAAAGCCTTCATAAAATTAATTTTAAGAACAAAATAAATCCTTTAACCAGTGTCAATAGTTAAGGAATAAATAAAATTAGAATCAGGAAAGAAACCTTAAAATAAATGAAGCTATTTCTGTATCAGAGAATCAATCTGTAGATTTAAGGTCAGGATGTTTGATTATTTGTCCAGAGTTCAGCGATGTTCTGTTTATATTCCACCTTCTGCTGTTGCCCACATCTCATCTGATGCAACTAATCATTACTTTACAGGAGGTTAAGCTGCTGATTGAATATTAATCAATTGATCGATTAATAATCAGAAAGCTAAAGGTTCCTTAAAGAAGACTGGAAGAAATGAAACCAGGTGAAACTAAAACGTTTTCACTCGCTCCATCAGCTAAAGGCGTTTCAGGCTCTATACTCCGGTTAACGATGAATCGATTACTGAATTAGTTGACGATTATTTCAGTAATTAAAGAATCGTATTAATTGTTTCAGCCCTAATGTGATGTCATCAGTTCGATTGTTGCTAACAGCCAAATGCATTTCTGGCAATAGATGCTGATTTTATTCACTGCCTCACTCTGAAACGGGTTGTGGTTTCACGACTTTACGCTCGCAATGTCACGACTTTACGCTCGCAATGTCGCGACTTTATTCCAAAAAAAAAAATAAAAAATAAAAACATAATGAGATCTACGTCTAAAGAAAAAACGCAGCAGTAAACTCTGTGGGATGGTTGCTATGGTGACTGAGAGGTGATTCTCAGAGAGATCTGGGAAGTTTTTCTTTCTGACGTCATGCGTGACATCATCCGAATGAATAGAAGGGGTGGAGCGTAGCCGCCTGTGGCCCGGGCTGCCTGCAGCTCCACTACTTCCTGTCCTTCTGAATAGATGAACTGATGAATCCAGGTGTGTCCAAGGCCACACCTGGATTCATCAGTTCATCCAATAGTAAATGTCAGGTAAGGAAGGAGCAGCTGAAGTTCAGGAAAGAAGTGGAGCTGGGCCTGAGGTCACATCGATCAACAGCTTTCAGGCTCTTAGAACCGGTTTCTGATTCTTCTGGGTCAGAAAGTTCCGCCGGAGGTCTAGGTGAAGAGACGGAACCACGGTTCGGCCCGTTTCCTTCACACGTCACCGATCTGCTAACGAGGCGGGACATTACAGACGTTATTCTGGTTCTGGTCCGGTTCTGTGCCATTACTGCAGAGGAACCAGTCCTGGTTCTGAACCTTCCTGCTTCAGACAGGAAGTGGTACCAGGAAACCGGAGCGGATGGGTTTGGGCCTCTGAGACCCCTGATGGAGGAGTAAACCCTGGAACCGGATCGGATGGGTTTGGGCCTCTGAGACCCCTGATGGAGGAGTAAACCCTGGAACCGGATCGGATGGGTTTGGGGCTCTGGGACCCCCCCTGATGGAGGAGTAAACCCTGGAACCGGATCGGATGGGTTTGGGCCTCTGAGACCCCTGGTGGAGGAGTAAACCCTGGAACCGGATCGCGCGCAGCGAGGACGGGTGAAGGCCTCACCTGGATGCGGCTGATGGGAACCTTCTTCTCCTCCAGCTGGGCCAGCATGGCCGCCTCCTCGGAGGGCAGCAGCAGGAGCAGAGCCTCCCCTCCCTGCTGGTACCGGGCCGTGCGGCCCACTCTGTGGATGTAGGTGTTGGCGTCCTCCGGACAGTCGAACTGGACCACCCAGTTGACGGCGGGGAAGTCCAGGCCTCTGGCGGCGAGGTCGGTGGCGAGCAGCACGGCGCTGCTCTTCTTCACGAAGCTGTCGTAGACCTCCACCCTCTTCATCTGCTGCTGCTTGCCGTGCAGCGCCAGGACGGGCGTGCCGGGCCGCAGGCGGCAGAAGGCCCGGTACAGGTACTGCACCTCCTTGCAGCAGGCGAAGAACACGATGATCTTCTTCCTCAGGTGGCTCCTGATGAAGGAGTAGAGCATGTCCACCTTGTGGTGCAGCTCACACACCACGTAGCTCTGCTCCAGGGTGGCCGGGGTGCTGAACCGGGCCTTCTCATGGACCCACACGTACTCCGGGTCCCGGAGGCTGAGCCGGGCCAGGTCCTTCACGCTCTTGGTCTGCGTGGCGGAGAAAAGCAGGGTCTGGCGGGTGGCGGGCAGGTTCTCCACGATGGCGTTAAGGGTTTCGGCGAAGCCCATGTCCAGGATCCGGTCCGCCTCGTCCAGAACCAGCACCTGCAGGCTGCTGGCCTGGAAGCTGGCCGTCTGGTCCATGTGCTGCAGCAGGCGGCCCGGCGTGCAGATCACGATGTTGGTTCTGCAGATCCGGGCCGACTCGCTCTTCAGGTCCTTCCCCCCGATCACCAGCCCGGCGGAGAACTCGTGGTTCCGACCCACCCTGCGGAGAACCTCGAAGGTCTGGTAGGCCAGCTCTCTGGTGGGGGAGATGATCAGAGCCCCCAGCCCGTCCAGAGGGGTCCACTGCTGCCGGTACAGGCTCTCCAGGACCGGAACCAGGAAGGCCAGGGTCTTTCCAGAACCGGTCTTGGCCGCAGCCAGAACGTCTCTGCCCCTCAGAGCCAGGCCGATGGTCTGCCTCTGGATCTCGGTGGGCTGGCGGTACCGGGCCTCCTGCAGACCCAGGAGCGTCTTCCTGGACAGCGGGAGGTCGGAGAACTTCAGAACCTCCTCGGTTCTGATGTCTTCATACCTGCTGAGCAGCCGCTGGATGTCCTCCTTCTCCTGCTGCCACTGCGGCTTCTTCTTCTTCTTCTGCTGCTGCTTCAGCAGCGCGCGGGTCTTCGTGTGCTTCTTCTTCCACTTCTCGAAGCACCGAACCGGGTCAGCAGCCGCTGCTCCCGGTACGCCCGCCTTCTTCTTACCGCTGCCTCCTGCCTTCATGGTCCGAAGTAAACAGAACCTGGTCCGAACCTCCACACCGTCACAGCGTGATCAGCAGCGGCGCGCCGTAATGACGTCACAGCGACGCGCGGCTTCTCCTTCTTCTTGATTTTAGGCGCATTTAGCGCTTTGCTGCCCCCCTCAGTATGGGAGCCGTTTGTAACGAGAAGCAGTTAAATATTAGGAGCAATATTTCTAAAAACAGAAGGGATAGCCAGACTAATTTATCCAGCATATACCTTAAATAAAACTAATACTACGATAAAATTTTTTTATTAAATTCATTACAATTTCATATGGAATAATAAACAACATCTGATCAGAAAGAACGACACAATAAAATCAGTAGAAAAAGGAGGAATAAGTTTACAAACAAGTTTATGGTTTAGTTTCCCTTCACAACTTTTTCAAAAAATTGGAGGAATAAAATTTCTCTTAAGATGTAACTTTTATCCTGTCAAATTACCGATTAAATTATCAGACTACCACACACAAGTTCTAAAGTATTGGTAAATGTTATACAAGCACAATTTTACGCCATGTTATATGATTATTTGGAATAACACATTTATTTTATATAAGAGAAAATCTCTATACTACAGAAAATGGGAGGAAAAGGGTATCTGGGCCATTGTAAATTGTAAATTCTTTATCCACAAGTGCAGATTCTTTAAAGTTTCTCCAAATTTTCAAGCATTCCAAAACAATATTAAAAGTTTTCATGCCTCAATTAAGTTACTGGAAAACAACAAGGGATTAAAGTTTGCAGACTTGATAGCAATATATTTTAGCTAAACCCATGTGTTTTTTTTGTGTGTGTGTTTTTTTTTTATTCAATTTTAATTTTCTTTCTCATTCTTTTATGTTTATTTTTCCTAAAGAAAACTGTCATGGAAGGCATATGTTCAATTGTATGTTTCTGCTTTACAAATGACGCCCCATAAGGTTTTCCCTCCAGTCTTTTGGGTTGTGAAGAAGTGAGAGAGGTGAAGGTGGAGAAGACCAAGGAGATTATGGTGGACTTCAGGAAGAAGCGGCCTAACCACGCTCCACTGCTCATCAACAGCTCAGCTGTAGAGGTGGTCAGCAGCACCACATTCATCACAGACACCCTCACCTGGACTGGAAACACCACCTCACTGGTCCAAAGGGCCCAGAAGCGCTTGGACTTCCTGCACCCCCCCCATCCTCCCCACCTTCTCCAGAAGCACCATAGAGAGCGTTCTGAGCAGCTGTCTCACTGTGTGGTGTGGAGGCTGCAGCGCCTCAGACTGGAAGAAGGTGAGAACAGCAGAGAGGATCATGGGGGCTCCTCTTCCCTCCATTAAAGACATTTCATCCCAGCGCTGCGTGTCCCGAGCCCGTGACATCATCAATGACCCCTCACCCTTACTACTTACTTGTTCCTCTTGGCTTCGGTTTAATGTTTCTAAATATTTATTTCCTGTCATGTGCTCCATCCAATGCAGATCATTGGCTCCTCCCACATCTAGTGAAAACTAGCGTGATTGGATGAGTCATAGAACGCAAACACTCATTGGTTAGCTAAAGGAAATCATCAGAAGCAAGCAGGTGTTCTTCAAACTGCTAACGTGAATTGTCTATGCCATGCTACAATGTGGGATTCAGAAAAAGATGTTGAAATGTCTGAAAGGTCGGACACAGGCGAGAGCGTATCGGGAGACGGAGACCAACAAGACCTCCCTCATGTCACGATTTGGATAAGGTTTGTTGACCCAAAAGCAGAGGCAATTTCTTGAGGATTTAATGATGAGATGACTGAGAACAGAGGCAAGTAATCCAAAATCCAAATATGAAAACAAAGTCCAAAAACAAACAGGAAACCAGGAATCCAAAAATCCAAAATTCAACACAAGAAAACAAGTCAAGACAAACCAGAAACCATGGAGACATCAGGGAAATCACAATTACAAGGCTCAGAGAGATGGAGTTGGAGGATGTTTGATGAGGACCCAGCAAAGAAGAACAGAACAGAGAAGGTGTTTAAGGGAGACTGAGACAAAGAGAGAGCTAACGAGCAGATTGGGAACAGGTGTGCAAAAAAGCAGAATAGAAATGGAGCTAGGGAAGAAGGAGAACACAAGAGGGCAGCAGAGGGCAACACATAAAAACCTAGAAAACTGAAAATAACTAGAAAACAAAATAAGAATTAAACCACTAAGACTATAAAACATTGAGCAAAGTAAAACTGAAAACTCAAAAGAAAAACATAACAGAACCAAGACTGAAACAGTAACTTAGAATTAACCAGAGAACACAACAAAAATAGAAATTAAACTGGAAAACAAGGACTAAAGCAAAACTGAACACTGAAAAGAAAACATAACAGAACCAAGACTAAGACAGTAACTGAGAAAAAACCAAAGAACACAACAACATAAGAATTAAACCATAAAAAAAAAACAGAAAAAAAGGACCAAAGCAAAACTGAACATCCAAAAGAAAAACGTAACAGAACCAGAACTCTAACACCTCATCCTTGGCCCTATCTCAGAGAATTTATAGAAATAGTCGAAAAATTGAGCTTTCAGTTCATATAGCGGCATCTGGCTGTTTTTTTAAGGGTTACTTTATATTTTTATACTTTAAGTAGTTTTTGGAGCACATACTTTTTCACTTTTACTTGAGTGAAGAGGTCAAGTTGATACTTCAACTTTTAACAGAGTGTTTTAAAAACTATTTAAACTAAGCAAAAAATGTGTGTACTTTGACACCAATGTTCCCCACTGCCATTAGACTGCTGAATGTTATGTAAAATGGTTTGTTTTATTTGTATTAAAAAAATAATGTTAGATCTGTAAATATACAGTCATATATTTATATTACTATTTTTATGTATGTATTAATGTTTTTCAAGGCTGCACTTTAAAAATTAAATTGTCTAGAGCTGTTAAACAAAATTTCGTTTGGTTTACATTCATGTATACAAAATGACAAAATAAGTCTAAGTTGGATGCAGTGAAGGTAGAGGAGTAAATCTAGTTAGAGCTTTCCATACTCCTTAATCCTGGTAATGATCTACTAAAGTGAAATCTTCATTCAGATTTTGTTTGATAGCTTAAAGATCTCTAAAAAGATTCATTGAGAGGGACAGATAATGTAGTTTGTTTTTCCTGTTAAGATTGCAAAACTTCGGTTTCATTTTTAGATTTTTTTATTACTTTATTTATCATTTATAACTTACAAAATTACTGATAAAAACCATAACAACATTCACAGAAAAGGTGACATAAGAAACACCAGAAAGACAGGAGCAACATTATATGAGGCATTATTAAAGGACAGGGTATTATAAAAGATCAACTTTATCTAAAAAAGAAAGTTTTTTTCTTTTATAAAATCTCATGACTTTGCTAGAGATTTTACTTAATTCTTCTGTTGGGATATAATAGGTTAATTATTAAAGAAACAGCATTTATATAATTAAAATATGAAAATTAAATCAGATTATTGACACCGTATTCCCTAAGCCCCATTTTCCAAACTCTACTTAAGGTAAGATATCTGTGGACTGGATCGGCTTTACAGTTAAAGATAAATAAAGAAATAAAATACATATTTTCTAACCATAGCCAGATAAAGGGATTGCTTTGAAAATCTGATATTTTTCACAAAATTCCTGAAACACCAACATGTTTCCTTCATTGTCCACAGAATGGGAAAAAACACAGATGTCTTTCTTATGCCTTTCCTCAGTAAATGAAAATATATTTTTTATCACTCACAATGTCCCTAATGTTTTGCAATAATATAGTAATTAAGCACTGAAGAAGAACCATTTGTTGTAATAGTGTGAAGCTGCACCAGACCATAGAGTAACCTTCATAAAACACACTGCAGGTATAATTCTCACATAACACCTGCTGGGTGCTTCCAACCTTTTTTAAATAAGAAGTTTCACCATAAAGAAGCAATAATTTGGTACATTTTGTTGTTTTTTGATCCAAATGAAAACTGCAGATTTTACTCATCGACAAAAAACTGAATAACTTTAAAATTATGAAATATTTTAATAAAAGATAAACAAAAATAATATACTCTACAATTGAAGAAAAAAAAACATACAAAAACAAAAAAGTTTGCAAAATTAACGAGCTTCTATCTGAAACTCTCTATAGAACCAAAAGCTAAAGAAACACAGTTTAAAATCTTAAATCTACTATTAATTATATTAAATGCTATCCTCCAAAGAATAACTAAGAATTTGTTTAACATTGATTAAAACAGAAGCTAAATTTTTAAAATGTAGATAGAAACAACAGACCGTATTTTCTATAAATATAACTGAAGTAACTTAGAAAGTTGGAATAAAACTAAATGAACTTTTTCTGAGGCCATTTCCAGAGATATGAAAACAATTGGAGTCTGGCTGAAAAAGCATAAAGCAGAGCTGTCCTTTAATCTCATGTATTCTTCATTCCCAAACAGAGATTTTCAGCTTTTTTAATTTAACAGAATTCCATTTATATCTGAAATCTCTGCAAAACATTAAATCTAAAGCATACTGAGCCCCTTTTTTATGCTTTTTGTCACTTTATGTTGTTTAAATGATGTTGACTTGATATTCTCTATAACTAAATCCTAAACTAAATCTCCTTCATGCACTTTGTACCTTTCAATTAACATTAAGTGCCATATTTGTTTGTACATATATTGATAAATAAGAAATATATAACTTAATCTGACGTTTAAACCGTCAGTTAATCTAAATCTGAAGCCTTATATTCTTGTTGTTTTGTTTTTATTGACGTTTTAAAATAAACAGGCATCAACATGCTGAAGTAAACAAAAATTACGATAAATCAGAATGTTTGAAAACAAAGTAGATGTTTCTTGTTTCTTCCGGACGAAGCGGACACACTTCCGGTATTCCTTTACCTTTCAAAACAAAGCAATTTAACCACAGAGGCCACCTGATCTTATCGTGTATGCTGGCCCATTTCTGGTCCGATTCTGGTTTTTGTCCTGGTGTAAGATGTGTGTGTGCTTTTCTTTCTTTTGGGGGTAAACGAACCGGTCTTTGAAATTACTGCTGCTTTCTCCCAAAGGGACGTTTTATCCTGAAAGTCCGGACCGGAAGCTCTGTCGAAGCTGCCAGTCGTGTGACTCTGAGGTTCAGCAGATAAACAAGTGTTTGGGCTGCTGGTTCTGCTCCGGTTCTGCTGCTTCCATGCAACTCCAGACATGGCAGAGAGACAACAGGAGCACGAGGTAACTTCATTCACTTCCGGTGGGGGAACCGGGTCGGTTTCCGGTTTGTTTGAGCACCACAACTTGTCAAACTTTGCTCAACCATCAGAAAAGTCTGCAGCAGCTGCAGGTATTTGGGCCGGAAGTTCGGTCCAAAGGTTCGGATAGAGAAGTTCGGGTTTCCATCCGGCAGCATCAGGACTCAGTAAAGATGTCAGTCCAAGCTGCCTCTAAATGATCCACATGCAGCAAAGTCCAGTTAAAAAACCCGTCCTGGTAGAACCGAACCATCCCGGTTCCGGTCCATTAATGGCCCATATTACACCGGAATCAAGGGTCCAATAAAGAAATGTTAGGAAAAGACCAAGACTGCATGAACTGGACTTAGACCTGGTTCTGATCCTGTCTTAGATCTGGATCTGATCCATTTTTAGACCCGGCTTTAGATGAATCAGTACCTCCATGAATGGTCTGGGTTATATCTAGGATCGGTCTGGGTTACCTCCAGGATCGGTCTGGGTTACCTCCTGGATCGGTCTGGGTTACCTCCAGGATCGGTCTGGGTTACCTCCTGGATCGGTCTGGGTTATCTCTAGGATCGGT